TCACATTATGGGACATATATTTCACATTCTCTGTCCAATCTACGTCTTAGGTGGAATTTATCATTAAGGCAAAAGTATACATCCCTTGTATGTTAGCTAAAAGCTAGAATATACCTAGACTGCTTAGTCTTTTTAAAATTTAAAAGAAAGTCTTCTCTGCCGTTAACAAATACACTCTTCATAATGCTAATGAAAAAGTACCAGAAGGCATGAGATGAAAGCTCTCATATGTGGATACGGGAGATTAAAATCTTGTTAAGAGGTTCAGTGTGTAGTAATCTGAACAGGAGCTAGAATACTAAAAGAACAGTGATTGGAATTGATGAAATCTAGCAAAGATATTTTTTAATGCACTGAAAGAATGTGAATGCCGAGGATGAACTAATGAGAAACTAAGAAAGAAGTAAGATAATGTGCTACTTACACATGGTCCCACGTTCAACTACCAAATCATCTTTCACTCCCACTCCAGTGCATATAAAGAACAATCCTTATAGAAAGAAGTCATGAAGCATCTCTTATCACTACTTGCACTAAGAAATTCTATATTCTCACGATTTCTAAATTTTATTCAGCACTCCAGTGGTCACCTACCTAGCTGGACAACTATTTTACAACTCTTCCTTAGATTATTTTAGTTTTACTCACTGATCTCACCATGAGTGAGCAGAATATTTTAGCAGAAATAAAAAGAGAAGGGGGATTTGATCATCACCATTAAATGGCATGTTAGTTTACATTCAACGTAGGTATACATGGATGCTAATTATTTTTAAATTATTAAATGTTGGATGTGGCAGGGCAGTGTGGTAGGTGTCACCACTGGTTTCTCACATTAGTTCTGCTAATAACTAGTGGTCATTTAATCTCTGATCTTCAGTTTCTTCATCTAACAAAATATGGGAATTGAATTATAAAATTTCTTACATCCTTTACAGTTCCCAAATACTGGGTTTGGTTTTTGTCTGTGACACCACTAAACTAATTTAGACCACCAAGGGATTCTCCCTTTATTAGAAGGCTAAATAGTAAAATGATTAAGGTAAATAGTAGCTAGTTTTTGTTTTTTTTTTAATTAGAGACTAAAGATAATTTTGGGAGACAGTGAGGGAATATTTTAAAAGGAGGTGAGAAAAATAATGAAGCATAAAAGAAAAGCTAGAGGGAGAAAAGAAAGCCAAATATCTGAAAATTTGTATTAAAAGACTTTGAAAAATTGTCTATACTATAGAAATTCTATTTAATATTAACATTTTAATGAAATTTTTGTATTCCAACTGACATTTTTTCTGTTTAGAAGAAGCCCTCGGAAGCAAAGGGATTACTGTCTTCACTAAATAATGCATCAAGTCCATGTAGGTATTAGCTTGTGGAGGGAGCTAATACAAAACATTATCAAACACAGAAGAATATGTTTCACAAAAGAAAAAATATTTAGAATCTCTTCAGAAACCACAATGACACCACTTTAAGATACTAATTCTTAAACATTTCCAAATAACTTAAAATGTTGTACTTGTAAATTTATTTAAAGGAACAATTATTGAAGACATCAACTACCATCACCTTCACTCATTTGCTATTTTTACTTTCTTAATTTCCTGGTGGGAAATAAAATGTCCAGACTTTAAATAAATTTTTGTAAATGAATTACATTTCCGTATTTATTTTAAATAATTAATCAGAAACTATTCCCTGCTAAGTAATTTTAAGTTGAACTTTATATAATGGCAAATGTGAGCTCCCTGTCTTCAGATGATTTGCTAAGTAGTTTCCCTGGTACTTTTGCGTAAATTCTAAGATAGCCCTGAGTTTTCTCTGCCCCAATAAGTCACATGGTGGCAAAAATCCAGCATAGTAGAAGTAGTTTTCTTTTGTTTTATTTAATAATTCTACTAAGGTAGAAATATTACAAATAATAAACTTTTATGGAACGTCTAACCTAGTGAATCTATTGTAGATTTTCATTTTAAAATAAAAGCTGATTTTGAAGTCTTCAGACACTGCAATCAGGTTACTATTTTCATATAATCATGGAAATTTAAAATGCAAAGTTAATTGAAAGTATAAAGATGAGAAGCAAGTGCTATACCTAAAATAGTGCACGACACAGTCATGTTTCACTTAACTTTCAAGTCAGAACATAAATTAAGAATTCTAGATGTGACATGCCAAATATTTTAGACAGAAGAAAGCACACAACAGAATCTGTACCAATTACACACTTAAATGCTTAGCTTATAAGGCAACAAGTTCATGCTGAAATATTGACAACAAATGATGTTTCCCTTAGTTTAAGGAAGTGATGCTGCATATAAATCCCATCACCACTTTATACAATACTGAAATTTCATAAATAGCATTTTCCCAAGCTTCACGTTATACCCAAAGCCAAAATATTCGAAAGGAGCAAAGAACACTGACACTTTGAGCCTAAGAAGACTATTTTTTGCTTGTAACACAATTCAAAAGAAATAAATATTACACAATGACTGCATTAAAAAGAAATAATGTAAAGTTTAACAGCATAGGTTATATACAGTAAATTTGCCTAATGCTCTAAACTGGATCATATTTCTGTAAATGAGCATTTTCTATTTATAATCATTCTGAAAGTTAAGGAAAAATTAAAACTTTTAACTTTTTCTTATAATTTATGTTAACCTACCCTCTTTCTTTAAAAATGCATTTGGAAATTGAAATATAAGACTATTCATTTAGGAGTTATAGTTAACAAACACAAAAACAAGAAAAATATCTCAAAATGTACAGATTTCTCTACAGTGGAAGTTGACTCAATAAAAATATGGAATTATATTTGGACACCTTCAAATAGATTATAAAACATAATGTCAAGGAAAATGGGAGATTATAAAACACCTTCTCTCAAAAATTAAATAAGTATATTCACCCATCATATGTGAATAAAAGAGGAAATATTACTCTTGTTTTTATGAAACTATAGTACAATCATAGTAAATAAATAATTTCATTCTCATATATGCAGAAACAATCTATGAGAAACCAAGGTAACAAGCACAAGCAAGATTACTCCTTCACAGAAGCTCTTTTTAGAATTCCTTCCCATATGCACTTTAAAAAATTGATTACATAATTTAGATTGTCTCAAATAACCAATAAAGATACTTCCTACATGTGCTGCAAATTGAGAGCAATTTTTGAAACCCACGGTCATATAGAATTCAAGACATCCTCACATTTGTCAATTTACTTCCCCTACACACCCACATCCCTGTTCCCATTCCCAAATTAGACTTTAAAATCCCTGAGGGCAGAACCTATCCACCTTTTAATTTCCCTGTTGAACCCAAAATTGTGGCAAGGAAGATATGCAGTGCCCCACATTTTTTAATGAATGGATAATTGCATGAATGAGAATGAAGGTATATGTAAACCACAGCTGTCAGATTTTTGCCTTTGATATCTCATCCTAGTCAAATGAAGATGGGTTTAGTAACACATTTCCATAGTGGAATGAAGTGTAATCACTAGATTGTACTCTATGTGATAATACACAGGTATATCCTTTAGAACATTGTTACCCAAGTCATGCTTTGTAGAAACTAAAATGTGGGCTAGTAAAAGGTTTCCCGGTTTTTATAAAAGAGTTCCATTGGTCAAATAATTTGGAAAATCCAGTTAAAGAAATTCAAGTAACATTTTTTTACTGCTAGACTCCTCAAAGCACATAATATACTAATATGCGGTATCACTTTCTAAAAATCTATCAAAGAACACTTTTGGTCTTTGATCATCTCAGAAGAGCATTCTAAGGAACAGAGTTTAGGAAACAATGTTTTAGAGCAATAAACGATACCATGTTAAATCTTCCTTCACCAAAGCAGAATTATAGATTTGAAGGAAATATTTAATGTTCCATGTATTATTCAGAATGTATCACTTTTGTCTCCACAGGAAATAGAATAAAAGCAAAGTTATCATGAGCCTTCTGTACCCATTGCTCATTTTGAAAGGGTAAGGGAATATCTCTTTACTGATAACCCTTGCTTGGGTTTGGTTATCATATTTCATTTAAGAGTTTTCTTAATTTTTCCTCAAAATATCCCCTACTAGTCTCTTCCTTTTCTGTTCTTCTCTTTCTAAATGTATATGTACAAAAGTAGTAGGGACCTCTGCAATACATCTTAAAGACATCTCTGACAATTTATGACCTTATGACTGATTAATGTCTGGAAGTATTCAGAGAACATTAAAACTCATCTAACAAATAGGGTGACTATGGAATTTCTATGAGGAAAATGTCAGTGGATATTGTCCTGAGAGTTCATACAGATCCATTATGATTCTGCAAAATAACCTAATTTGTCTTCCGTTTGACTAAACCACAAATTCCGTCATGAAAGATGTTGTTTCTCCATAGGGAGAAAAAAATGCTATAGGAATTAAAGGTAAAGTAAGAAGCTAGCTAACTATCATGTGGATTATCATAAGATTTGGACCTAGTGCCAGCTCTATCACTAGCTATGTGACTTTGGGACATCTGTCAATGTCTCAAGGTGTCAGGTGTCTCATTTGAAAATAAGAGAAAGTAACAACCTTGTGACTTCCCAACTGTTTGCCTCAGGGGCTGCTGTGGTGGTGGATTATGAAGAGGAGAACAGGGAAGGAGAAACCAGGGAAGTGATCTGATCTCCCTTCCATCTTCCACCTGAGCAGCACTACTTTTACATGTTTTGTATACTAAAGTTCAGAGCAATATTTAATTTTTAAAAGATCCTGTTTAAAGAGAAAACCACAGATTCTATGATCTAAAGTTTTGTTTAGATATAACATCCTCCAGGCCACATTTTTAATAAACGTGTTTTCATCTCAGGAAAAAACAATGGGCTTTTATATTTTCTTTTCTATTCATTCATGTGCTCCTGATTCAAGTAAAATAAAACCTTAATAACTTTCATTATTTCATATAGCTTATTTTCACTTTTGTAATATGTTTCTTAAATAAAAAGATGAGTTGATGTGTTGCTTTTCAAAATAAAATTAAAGACAACATGGGGAGTGGATGAAGTCAACTCCAGCCCACACTTGACTTTAGTTATTTTTTCATGGTGCCTTTGGGCACTTAAATACTGCACTGCATTATCTTTGAGGTAGAACAACAGCAACGATGACAAAACAAAGGCCAAAAAATTCACATAAAAAGGAAAAATGAGAAAGAAAGATGTGAGAGGTTTCTTTTTAACACAATTCTCATCATCAGGCTTTGCAGTCTTCTTTGACACAAAGTTGAGAAATAGTCTTCTTAATCCGGAGGGCGGTTAGGCGGGCTGCCCCATTGGCATACCAACACTCGCGCATTATTCTCCCCATGACTCGGAGTGCCTTTAAGAGAGAAAATATCAAAGTCTTTAGCACAAAACACAGTACGAGAGAAGAAAAGCCACAAACACAGGAATCGATGCTAAGCTCTGATACAGAAATAGTAAACTTAAATCAATATGAGAAGGAGATCAGGGCCAAATCACTTCAAAAATCCTGTCAAGGGTGTCTCCCCTAAGACAAGGAACAGGGCATCTCCCCCCAGACACAGACCAGGGCGTCTCCACTCAGACAAGGACCAGAGCATCTCCCCTCAGACGCGGACCAGGGCATCAACCCTCAGGCAAGGACCGTGGCATCTCCTCCCAGACAGAGACAAGGGTGACTTCTCTCAGAAAAAGACCAGAGCGTCTCCTCTCAGAGACCAGGGTGACTTCTCTCAGAAAGGGACCAGGGTATTTCCCCACTGACAGAGACCAGGTCATCTCCCCTCAGAGGGACCAGAGCATCTCCCCACAGAAAGAGACCAAGGTGACTTCTCTCAGAAAAAGACTAGAGTGTCTCTTCTCAGAGACCAGGACATCTACCCTCAGACCAGGACTAGGATATTTCCTCTCAGAAAGGGACCAGACTGTCTCCCCTCAGACAAGGACTAAGGCATTTCCCCTGAGAGGGACCAGAATGTCTCCCCATGGACAGAGACAAAGGTGACTTCTCTCATAAAAAGACCAGGCTCTCCCTTCAAACAGAGAAAAAAGTTTCTCCCCTCAGACAGAGACCAGGTCAACTTCTAGCATAGAAAGACCAGGGATCTCCCCTCAGACAGAGCCCAGGCTGTCTCCCCTCAAACAGAGATCAGGGCACCTCCTCTCCTAGGGAGACCAGGGTGTCTTCTCTCAGACAGGCCAGGTGTCTCCTCTCAGAAAGGGGCCAGGCGATCTCCTCTGGCTTCAGGCAGAGGCACAGGGCCCACTGATCTGCTAGATGATTTGAAGCCATCATTTGTGGACCTTGAAGGTAGCTATAGGAGATGATAGGGAGCCTTTGCTCAGTGGCATTTTGGTTTATGGAATTACACTATCATTTTTAAGGTCATGTTTGATTGGCATAATGTGAAATGATGGACCAGTTTCATTTGTTTTAGTCTTTTCTGTTTAGTGATTAGTTGTTTATTTGTCTTCCACCTACTCTGTTGGATGTAATTTTAGGAAAGAGAATATGGCCACCTTACACAACATCCTTTTAGAGTAAGTGAAATCAATTGAATAGCTTTATCTTCTTGAGATGATCAATAATCTTTGAAACGATTAATCGTTTTATGCATTTTATGTATGCATTTTATGAAAATTTTCCTCTTCTTTCAAGCTACATGAAAATAAAATGCTTTCAATTAAGAAATTATATATGTTATGTATAAAAAAGCTAACAATTTCTGCCCTTGGGCTTTCAGAATATGTAAACTTTCTTTAAAATCTTTGTAGTGGAATTAAAATATTTTTAAAAATCCTGTCAAAACACAGATATTAATCCTATAGAGGGAGGCTATTAATCCTCTTTTAATTGAAAATTCTGGGAATATGGTAGAATGACTATCTTTTAAAATATTCTAAGAAAGGACATGAAAGACAAAAATGGATAAGGGATGGGTTGGAAATTCCCTGTGTTGCTCTGGATGGTAAGTACACACATATACATTTTTTTTTAAGTCATCAAACTATATACTAAGATTTATTCATTTTATCATATGTAAATTATGCCACAATAAAATAATGATCTAAATACTAATATCAAAAATTTTGAATTAAAAAAAATCAGTATAAGTGAACTGGTAAATAAATAAGATAAATACTCAGAGGGGAAAACAATGAGAATGCATGAATCCAGAGAGGTATAAGAAATCACTGAAGCAAGGTGTTGCTCTGATGGCATTTGCTGATCTCACAGTCTAGAATTTCAGAATTGATGGACCATATGTGAAAGACAGGAAATACAGCCCAAAGCACACAGAAGGTGTCAGATCAAGACATTTACAAAGTCCAGACTGTAAGGATGAATTGGTCTTAGAAGGAACTTTGTGAAGAAAATTGTCTAAATCTTTGATCTTGGTAAAGAAAAAATCAAACCTTAGCCTTAAAATGTTGCAGTAAGCCTGAGCTCATAGTGAAAATTCACAAGAAGATGAGGAAATAAAGTATCATAAGCAAGAGTTAGTCAAAACAACAAACAGGAAAATCAAACCTATCAAAACATTAGATGCTAGAATTAAATGATATAAAATATTTTAAAAATAAAGTACATTTTAAAAAGCAAAGAGAAAAGTCTAAACATAAGTAAAAAGCAAAAGTATATTTAAAACAAAACAAAACAAATAAATGGCATTTTTCACAGAATCAGAACAAAAAACAAAGAAAATTTTAAAAAGAAAACAAAAACCCCAAAACAAACAATAAAAAACAAAACTAATATAAAAAAAGGTGTCAAAGGTAAGACATGCAAAGTTTTAAGGGGCAAAACTATCATAACTTTCACACAGCATTATACTGGAAATCCTAGAAACTGCAATAAGAAAGGTATGAGTCCCCGGACTCTCATTATTTGGGGATATGATCATCTATGTAGGCACCCCAAAAGAATCTATAGTTTTATACCCTAAAGAAATAATTTTTACACACACACACAGCAGTATTGTTTTAAAAGAAACTAAAAATCACACATGTGACAATCAACAGTAGAGTGAAAAAAAGAAATTAGATACATACAATGGAATACTACACAGATATGAAAATAAACAGATTATAGCTATACATATATAAGGTAAAGTAAAAAAAATTAAGAAGAATATCTATAGTAAGTGTCAATATATTTCACAAATAAACAAAAGTTAGCCATATACACGTACATATATATATATATATATATGTATGGCTAAATTTTAAAGCAAAGCAAGACAATAATAAAACGATTAGTTATAATAGTAGCCTCTCAGAGGGGTGAGGAATCTTCAAAGGTATTGGAAGTGTTCTATTTTTTAAACTTGGTCATGAATTCTATTATCTTTACATATAACTTTACATATATGTTAATATCCTCTCATATGCATGAAATGGTTAATATCAGAAAAAATTTTAATTTAATTTCAATTTGCTTATAAATGCCTCAAATTCTGCTTCTCAAATGAGTATATAGGTAAGCTATCTACACAAAATAGAAATATCAGGACATAAATCTTGCCTTAAATAGGAAATGAGTTGAGCAAAACATGAAGGAGAAGAAAAATGAGGAAAAACGTAACCGTATAAGATATGACATATGACAGAGCCAAAACTAAAAGATGTCACCAAAAAAATCGCCTCAAGTATTACATTTAAATATGGCAGAAGACAAACAGTCATAATTGGGATGGGGGAGATTAAAGCATTAAAATAGTTGTGGAACTAGTTAGATGATTTATAGTCTTTCCTCCACCTTCCCTTTTACTTCCTGTGGGAGCTAGAGAAGTCTCTCTCTTCACACAGGCAGAACAAGCATTGCAATACGTCTGCTCTATGATGGTTACTACATGTGTGGTACAAGATGAGGAGATAAACAACAATGGTCCCTGCCATGGGGAAGCTTTTCTGATGGAAGAGAATAAACTCAAACTTCAGCAAGTTAGGGATTAGGAATAATTTATTGACTCTAAGGATGACTGAAATTGTAATACTCTGTGTAGCACAGACATTGACTACCCACCGAATATGCCTGTGTTCCCGACATTCCCAGCTCCCTTCCAGCTGGATGGGACTGTGTGACTCGTTCTGGTCTATGAACCATGAGTGGAAATGAAATGTGTCACTTGACCCAAAGTATTAGAGAGCCAGTGTGTGACCCTCCAGCTCCTCTCTTCTCCTGACCTAGACCTCTGGAAACTATGTGTTTAGATAGCAGCATCACAAGATCAAAGTCACCTGGATTACTGAATCACCACAGGGAGCACAGATTCCAATGAAAGCTGCCTAACCTACAGGGGACTTGGCATAGCAAGAAATAAAGTCTTGTGTGAAGTCACTGGGATGTCAAGGTTGTTCCTGCCACATAACTTAGCCTTATGATACTGACAGCTAAAGGGAATAAAATCCTTCTGAAGCTTATATGAAGACATATACCTACATACATGAAATGAATTGGATGCCTAGATAAAGAGGACTATGGCCTCTGAAAATCCACCCTGATACTTACCTCAAAATTATAATGGGAAAAATACACATAAGAACATAGCCTTACTTCACAGCTTTGCCACTGGTTCGGAATACTTGGTCGGAACTTCTGGTCACAGACAACCTTCCTCATTTCCTCTATTGAGGGATCTGAAGGCACCATGTCATAATAAGGCAACTGGTACTCCTCAACAATTCCTATAAAAAAGTTGCATAATAAATTTCCCAGTGTGAATAATAAACAAAGATGTTTACTTCAAAATAATACCAATTAAGTTTTCTAGGCACAAGTGGTACCCTGGAAAACTGGAAAATCAGGCTTATTAAAATTATGTATCATTGTAAAACCAAAGATATAAGTTTAAAGCACTAAGTTGAATAGTTATATAAGTTTATGAAATTTTATACTATGAAAATTTATATAATTTTGATAATTAAACAAGTTATATGAGACAAAAGTATATGTAATTACTGTATAAAATATATAATTTTATATAATTATACATATATAAAATATGTTACATTTACATAACTTAATAATTATAAAAATATAATTTCATATTATGAAAATTATGTAAATTTTGATTTTCATAAAATGCCATTGTGCAATTCAGAAGTAATATCTAATTATAAAATTTACAGCAAGCCTCACTGATCTGTGAATGACGTATATTTCTCCATGAATGAAGTATATTTCTCCTTTTGAAAACACAATAGCTTTCTCTTTTTGAAAATTGTTAGGCAATCTTTTAAGAGCTGAGTTTTTTACATTTGGATTTTACAGCTACTAGATCTGAGAATGTTCCAGAGAAATGGCCAAAGGTATTTGAAGATGAACAGTTCAACGTGAAGGTTAATATTTAAAGAGTCTCAAATAATAGACAAAGATTTGACTTTAATTATCAGAATGTTACCTGAGTTCAAGAATTTCCTTACAGAATCAATTGAATTAAACTATAGTTCTTTTAATTTAAATATTTAAGATTGGCATAATTTAGAAAATGAAATTCAAATCATGTTAACTAAATTACCATTTCAACTGTTGAAGAAAATTTAAGGACAAAAATCTAAAAGCAAATCTAGACAAATATCAGTATGAAATTAAAAAAAATAATAACATGTTTGAATCTTGCTATTTACCAAGCACCTTCCTAAGCCCTTTACATGTTTTAACTAATTATTCCTCAAAAGCACTGACTAAAGAAAGTACATAGTATCCCATTTTTACAGAATCAGGAAACTGAGGCACAAAGAGTGTCATGAATTTTCTCAAGGTCACATAGCTAGTAAGTGGCAGATCTGGAACTTGATCCCAGGCTTGGGGATTCCAGTGTCCATGTACTGTTTCTGCACCACTCTAAGTCTATTGCTTCTGTGAATAGTTTCATCTTCCTGAATATTTTATTATCTAACCTAGGAATAAAAGGGGGAAAGCATGTTTTCTCATTCAAATATAATTTTAAATTTTAAGCTTTTCATTTTTTTAAATATGAGATTTATGTAAGGCAAAATGACATCAATACAAAATGCAAAAACTGACAGTGGTTTAATAATGACAGTTCTTTCATTGAATGTTTACTATGAGCAGGCTCTATACAAAAAGCTTCACATGAATTAATTGAATTAGTCCATTAAATCCTTAAAGCCCAAGAGGTCAGTTTTATTATCTTCGTTTTACAGATGAGGAAAGTGAGACCATATAACTCACCTAAAGTCAGACATTCAGGAAGTTGCTGAACCAAGGTTTAGGACTAAGTCTGTCTCACTTGAAACTGAAAAATCTAAATCATTTTCTACCAGGATTTAACTTTTCTCCACTGATGAAACAACTTCATCAGACTGCATTTACAGGGTTTCATCTTCCAAAATTCTTCCTCTCATTATTAATCTCTAAACTGCTGGGAGCAGTAGAGTCAGGAAGTTAGTCTTTGCTTACCTCTGTCCTCCACTTTAATCCCCACACATACATCATCACCGGAAAGAAATGAACAAGAAAAGCCCGAGAACCAGAAGACTTCAATTTAAGTCCTGCGGCCTTAGCAAGTCATTTAGCTTCCTTGGGTTTAATTTCTGATATAAAATAGGAATACAGCTCAAAGAAGAAAATTTTCAAGTGCTTTGCAAAGTATTATTATGGAAATCAGAATTATCAGGAGAACTAAGCGGTAATCACAACCTAAAATCTCCGTTCTGTTCAAAATGCTCCACTTTTGCCACTGGAAAGATATCGCCAAAAGGTAATCTCTTAAATATTTAGAAACGATTCAATATAGTGCATTGAATTAGAGCATCAAGGAAAGGCAGACACAAAGAATATTTCCAAAATCTTACCTCCAACTGAACACCTCCGGGCTATTTCCCAGTAAACCAGACCAACAGAATAGATGTCAGCTCGTTTGAAGGACTCGAAGATATTCACATTTATTGTATCATCAAGCATTTCAGGAGCCATGTACCTTCAAAAACATGCACACTTCAGATTCTGTGTATGAGCTTATAGCAGTCCAGTAAAACACAATGTTAATAAATCCTGATATACAATATGTTAAGGCAGTTTACATCAAATTTACAGGTTGATCTGAGCCACTATAATAGAATAAAATTAAGTATGATGCTAACTGGACTTCCCTGGTGGCGCAGTGGTTTAGACTCTGCGTTCCCAATGCAGGGGGCCAGGGTTCACTAAGTGTGATGCTAACTGTAAGTTTTTTGTAGGAGTCCTTTATAAGATTAAGAAAGTTTCCTTTCATTTCTAGTTTGTTGGGAGTGTTTATCAATAATGGAGATTAAATTTAGTTAAATGTTTTTACTGCATCTATTGACATAATTGTGTGTTTTATTTATTTATAAATTTATTTAATTATTGAACGATAATTTTTAAAACATTTTAAATAGAACTAGAGATCATCCTAGTGTTAAAGCCTGTGGGCCAGGAGCCAAGTACTTGGAAAGCACTCAATAGGAAAGATTGAACTCAATTTCCAGTAGTTTGTAGCCAAGAAAGCTCCTTGAGGGCAAGGAGTATGTTCTATTCATCATGGTGGGCCCAGTACTCCAACACAGTGCTCAGCATCATTCCACAAATACCTGCTCTGAATGAACAATGTTATTATACATTGGCTCCAAGACATATATTCATATTATATATTGGCTCCAATAAAATTACAGCCTTGCTTGAATAGGACTAAATCAAAACTTCTACAGTCCCTGGGACCTGACAGAGCCTAGCTGTCTTAGGGATATATCGAGGATTTCTCAGAATATTGAGGTGAGGATGCAACACTCTCCCCAATATTTTAAAAGCTTTAGATTCTCTGAAGGAATCCAGCATCCCAGACTTCCCTGACAGACAAGTTAAAACTTGCTTTTTAAAGGGAAAAAAGAAGAGGTCCCTTAGGGCTGCCCAGTCTGAATAAATTGTCCTAAAGTGTTTCTGGGGCCCCATTAAAGTCTCCCAGGGAACAAAGTGAAGGACTCAGAGGGACTGGCCTGGAATCTCAAATATGGCTTGTAGGCTAACTATACCAGCTTAGAAATTCTCTACTCTCAAGGGCCTTTAACAACTCCAGGAAAGTGTTTTGGTTATTTCTGATTTCAAGGTCAAGAAACCTGGAATTATGCCAAAGTAGCACAGATCCTGAAATTCAAATGAAAGGAAACAGAAGTATGCTGGCCATATGGCCACAGTCTGGCTATAATAAGAAAACACCAGGAATCCCATTACTAATGGGTCTGTCCTGACATACGTGTGGTATGCTCTATATAAATCATGCTTGTTCTTAACTTTCAGAGATTCTGTTCCTTGAAAGTGGGAATTGTGTCCAACTCATATTACCTTAATACACATCAACTGGGGAGACTTATGGATAAGTACAACTATAGGTAAATATGTTACATAATATTTTTAAATATTGAGAGAATATTATATAGATATATATCTATATAACCTATATTATATAGATATATATATATATATATTATATCACCTATCTAGTTAAGTGTATTGATTCTATATCTGTTGTTAGGACCTGAATGTATGGAACTAGCCCTGAGTTTCAGTTCATTTACGAGGTATTGAAGAATTGATATAAAGGCTTTGGAAGAGCTATACACTGCTAACATTTTTTTCCTCCTCTCTGTAGGAAAACTATTCTCAGATGTGGCACGCTAAAAATAATATATCACCATCACTTCCACCGTTCCTTTCCACTGGACTCCCCACACAAATAGCTACTTTCTATATGACCAAATGCCAACTCTTCTTGCTTTATAACCATTGTGCCACTGATTTCTCGGTGACCCAGAGAAGACTTCTTGCTTTCTTGGGCCTAATGGTTTCCAACTTTGGATTTCCACCCACCTCCCTATACACATATCCCAGGCATTCATGTTTATGGGCAGTCATAAGTCTCAGTATGCTACCAAAGTAAGTTATCTTACCTTTTGGTTCCTACTTTAGGATTCTGAGGTATGTCAATAGTGTTCAGTATTGAATCATGCTTCACAGCCAACCCTAAGTCTGCTATGGCACAAGTTTCACATTTTTTCACTAAGATATTCTTTGATTTTATATCTCGATGAGCAATAGCAGGTTTACCTATGAAGCATAAGGTAAACATATTCACTTTTTTCATTACTGGAGATTGAACCTCTCTGAAAGGCGTCATCTTGAAGACTTGGCTCAAATGTTATCTTCTAAGAAAGGTCTTCCCTGACCCCCATTCTACATTCCAAGTCATTCTCCATCAGACTATCCCATTTTGCCTTCTTCATAGCCCTTATCACTATCTAAATTATCTTACTCATTCATATGCATTATCTGTCCCTCCCAACTAGACTGTAGGCTACCTAAGGGCAGTGGCTATGTCTTACTCATCACCGTGCCTCCAATGCTTAGAACACTAGGTGACATTTAGTAACCACTGGTAAATATTTGCTGAATAAGTAGGGAAAGTATTAGCATTGCTATGTCCACATAAGAACATAGCAAATATTCTCTTACAAAACAAGTTTCAAACTTCTACCATCCTACACCAGCAGTTCTCAAATGCAGCCCAAAGATCCCTGGGGGTCCTTAAGGCTCTTTTCCAACTACATATCTGTGTGATGTCACATTTTCTTCACATACTTCAACCAAAAACAACATACTGGGACAGACTGAATGAAGAACAGGTATGAAAATCCAGACATTAAGGAGATTTGCAAAAGTGTAAAATGGCATTATTTTAGCTAGATTGGCTTTTGTACTACAAAAATTATGTAACTTTTAAAAATTATGTTATTTATTTTAATATTTAATTGGTTAATTATTATACTTAAAGTAAATTAATAAATACTTTAAAATTTCTCAATTTTAGTTTCTAATATAGTAAATATTAATAGATATAACCCAAATATACAAACTTTTGGGGTCCTCAATAATCTTTAAGAGTTTAAAGGGATCATGAATCCAAATCTGAGAAGCACTACGGTGACTAGACTGACTTTCTAGAGCCAATTCTCTATTAACTCAATAAACAGACGAGACAGTGTATATTATTTGGAGTTCAAGTACATGATATATAAGTATTTTTTTAAGGTCAGAATAACTCTTTCTAATTATTTTAATTATCAAAGGTAAACAGTTAAATCATTTGTATTCTCTGAAAATAGAGCATTTGCCACCAAAGCAAGATCTCTCAGGTACATATTGTAAATAGCAAAGATAGAGCCACTAGGAATAAAAATATCATTATGGATAGTATACAAAATGACAAGTATGTAGATGAGAGTTGGCTATATCATGACAAAACCTTCAGCTTTATAAAATACCTTTAGTGTTTCTTTACATTTGATAATTGTAATAAACTAAAACACAGCTGAACACTAAAATACAACTTAGTGTTTCTATCTTCATATTCAAGGAGAAAAAAAATTAGAAAGAAAATACATACCTTGTGTACCAACAATCTCCATATGAAGGTGGGCCAGACCACTAGCTATTGAAAGTGCCAGTTTGATCATTCCAGCCACTGTCACTATGTTTCTATTCAAATAGTCATATAAGGAGCCCTGTTCATGATATTCAGAGACAAGCCAAAGTTGAGTCCAAGTTCCATTATCTAACAGGAAAAAGTTATTTTGTTGCTGTAAGTTTATGTTGAGAAAGAAGCCAAAAGCTTTTAACAAATGTCAGTGTTTAAAGCAAATCTGTGTTGTTAACAAAGCAAAGTTAACTCCTTCCGTGATAATACTTACAGTCCAAGTTAGTAGGGTGAAAATTCTCAACGAATTCCGATTGACATATTAGAACCTGTTACATGTACCCACCATTGCTATAGGAAGCTGTGAGGCAGTGATTCTACCAACTGAACTACTCCTTTCTTATTCCCTCTATATCAATACCTGCTGGTAATAGCAACCACATTATGGCAGAAACTACTGAGAGATGCATATAGGCTCAGCGTTGTGTTATAAATTATTCTTGAGCTTTTAAGAAAGATTGTACCAATAAAAACAGAAATATAACAAATTTACACAAAGTATTATTACTATCATAAAACTCTAACATTCCAAGGATGGTCATATTATTCATCTTTCAAAATATGAAATTTATGATTTCCCTCAAAGCTTAATATAAGTGCCAAACACAATTACTAGACCTTTTCAAATAATTTACCTTATTTAACCAAAGCTAATCCAGTTTATAAAAGATTTTTAGCAGACGAGAAATTAGCCTAAAATTTCTCTAGGTATTAGAGTCCCTAGACTTAGCTTTAGCTTTCAGAATCAGATGTCTACAATAGCCCTGGGAAGTCCTGACCAGTTTTGATCCTCAGTGAAAGGGAACTATAATTAAAGAACATTTGCTAAGGAATTTTTGTACTTAGTGCTTTATGTACAAGAGCTCCTGGTTATCCAAGTATTTAATTTCCAAATCCAGGTAGTGATAACATTTCCTAGGGATGCAAAAATCAACATAACATGATAAAGTTCACTAATAAACTGACCACATATAAAACTAACACTTACACCTCTCTCCCTGTTTAACACCAGCGGCTATCTTTGCCCTCTCGTATCAATGTCTTTGTCAGACAGTTGACTAAACTAAAGAGTGAAACTGTAAATGTTGCAAAAGATATAGAAATGCATGAAAATGAAAGTGATGTTAGAGACCACTTGGAATCAAAGCCACTGACAAGTAAGCCATTGACACAGGTAGACCAGTTAAACTGAAGAAGAGACAATCAAGGGTGATCTCTGTTGTGCATATTGTTTTATAATCCAATAAATGTCATGATTAAATTAGCTCTATCAGGATGATCCATATAACGGCAGTCATTACTGCTTTCATAACATTGCGAACGAAGCTAACCAGTAGATAGTTTAGCTCAATGTTAAGAAGAAAAAGTAAAAGTTCTTAACAGCTTAATAAGAAATGTTTCATTTTCAATAGTATAGTTAAGAACTTGGAAAGAACCTTTTCCTTTTTTAAGCTCAGTTTCTCCCTGGCTTGACTTGGCTTTATTCAGTTTCTCCCTGGCAAATCAGAAAAGACAAATCATCAGCAAACATAACTATGGCCAAAATGTATAATAACACTAAACTTCCCTTTGGCCATCTAAGTAATCATAAATACTTTCATGATCAAGCTTATATTAAATAGAAATAACCATAGATTTTAAATTTTCCTAGGTAATGGTAGGTTTCTGATAGCCACAGATAATTTGTGGCTAGATTGATGTTATAATCTCCACCTCTCCAAAGTTCTTCATGAGTATAACTGATACAAATAAAAAAATAATTGACTGGATCAAGTTTTGCTCACCTTTGTTCCCTGTTTCCCTTTAAGGGAATTGTTGCACAGCTAAGTGAGTAAAAGCTATGCAAAAAGAAGAAAGAGAGCATAGGTAATCCACAAACTCTATACCAATCCCTGATTACTGGGCATATACACAAAATTTTATGATTATTGATTTAAATACCAAAAAGTTGATGGTCTGTCTTATTCCACAAATCTCATAAAGCAGTGTTATTTGGGGTTGTTAATGTTAAACCTCACGATATAAATCATACTCAAAGTACATTAATTTCACTAAAAGTGTCTTGCTTGCCACCATTCTAATAATGTTCCTAGAAAACTAGAGTCCTGGAGTTGAGATCTGCTGTACAGATGAAAGTATAGTCCTAACAAAGATGAATATTCAACTATCATTCATTGGTATCTTTGTACCAGTTATCAAAATATTGAAATATTTCTGTCCTGTTTAATTAACAGCTGCTATTCAAAACTTCCAATGGTATTCCTTTGCCCTGGACACCCAAAGAAACTCCTGAACCCTCAAGGTGCCTCCAGATCTTTTTATGACCCAGCAACTAAAGGGATAAAACCTAGCATGGGGGAAGGGTGAGCTGTGACAGGGCGAGAGAGAGTCATGGACATATACACACTAACAAACGTAGTAAGGTAGATAGCTAGTGGGAAGCAGCCGCATGGCACAGGGATATTGGCTCGGTGCTTTGTGACAGCCTGGAGGGGTGGGATAGGGAGGGAGGGAGGGAGGGAGACGCAAGAGGGAAGACATATGGGAACATATGTTTATGTATGACTGATTCACTTTGTTATAAAGCAGAAACTAACACACCATTGTAAAGCAATTATACCCCAATAAAGATGTTAAAAAAAAAAAAAAAAAAACCTAGCATGGCAGGGTTCTCCCAAAACTCTGTTCCAGTTGAAGCTTCTGTTCCGGTTGGTTAGCTCCCGTGCCATACCAGTCATCAAATATTTTAAGTATCAAGCTGGCTATAGTGTCATCATGACTTCATATCACTCGTCTGCCCTGCTTTATTTTACATTTATTGCACATTTATCTGTGGAGAAGAGGAAAGCATTTTCTTTCCTCAAAAAAGAAATCAGACTTTTACGTAGATTTTATTAAAACAAAGAGATTATTTATTCTCCTCTGATAGTAGACATACTATCTTATTTGCTGGACCCAATTAGATTGAAAATACCTTTGTTGTCAGCAGCAATGAAACCAAGGATGTTTTCATGTCTCAGCATAACAGTCTGATAAATTTCTGCCTCTCGAAACCAAGATCTTTCATCTCTAGAGGAGAATATTTTCACAGCCACATCTTCCCCGCACCATCTTCCGTGCCAGACCTCACCAAATCTACCTTTTCCTACTATTTCCTGAAGTACAATCGTCCTTGCAATTGTTCTTTGAACCAATAGAGGCAGACCTAACCAAAGAAAAGATGAAATTGATGATTAAAAACAAGTAATTGCCAGAAAATAACTGTCATGATGACCATTATTTTCACATAAAAAAGCAAACATTTAACCACTTTAGTAATTTTACTGATTTCGAAGAAATAAGCACCATTATACCAAACTTTAATTTAGTCAAAGCATGCTCAAAAAGCACTCCAAATTCTTACTATGATTTCTCGTCTCATATTCACAAATAAAAATTTCTTGAATATAGCCTGCCACTGCAGATATCTAATTTTCCAAAATTGTTGCAAATCTCTCTGATTTGCACATTGAAGCCAGTTTGCTAAATACACAAAGGTTAAAAAGCATAAATTTTTAGCCTCTAAAATAAAATATGATTCCTAGTACAACAGAGAATGCTTTATGAATTTTTTTTAAAACCAAGTTAAAATTGGAAAGTGAAGAATCGAATTCAATGATGAAGTGAGGCAATCATGTTACACTGAAAGCAAGGTACAGTCATAGAAAATATCAAATGGATATTTTCTGTGGAATAAAAGAAAGTCAAAGAAAATATATTCTGAATGTATGTAAAATGTTTAGGTTCTTTTGAACCAATAGCTTTACCTCTAGAATTCTATTCTGAAGATTTAATGAAAAATGCAGAAAAATTTATGTCAAGATATTTAATATATTATTACTTATAGAAAAAGTAAGGAAAAGTGTCTGATAATGGAAAAATTGTTAAGTACAGTGCAGAGGTTGAGACCACAGATAAGAAAGGCTTGGGTTCAGATTTCATCTGTGCCACATGGTAATCATGGGCAAATTATTGAACTTCTCTGAGCTTCTGCTTCCTTGCCTGAAAACCTGTGGGCAATAATATTACCTATATCATAGGGATACTTTGAGAATTAATAAGCATGTTAAGCACCTAGCACAGTATCTGGCCTATTACATGTTCAACAATGGCTTGCCCTTAACATTATGTCTAAGGATGGATTACTTAGAGCCAAAAATAATGATGCTGTTTATGAAGAGTTATTTCTTAATGACATAGGAAAGTACTTCTGCTATAATAAAAACCATACCTTGTTAAGTGAAAAAATACTTTTGTTAAAGACAAATAGCATAGCACATTCTATCCATCTAGATAAGTGTATCTAGCTATTGAAAATATTCACGGGAAAAAGACTGAAAAGAATATATGCTAAATGCTATGATGGGTATTTCTATTTAGTGGAATCGGGGTGAAGCAAATTGTGATATTCTCCTTTCTAATTCTTTACATTTGCTTAATGTCCACAATAGTCCATAAATATTTATTACTCTTATAATTAGAAGGAAAATAGCTAAAGAGGTCACAGTATAATTTATTTGGGAAAGTCATGTTTAGTTGTCATTGTGCTCAGATGGCTGGGAAACCCTTATAGCAACAACCCTGTAAGCTCCTGTAGGCTTCGACCTCTGCTCCTGAAATGAGCCAGTTTATTCAGATGTTCTCATGTGCATGAGAACCACCCACCATGACTAAATAAGCACAGACTATAAATTTGCTATTATGGATCTCAACAATTAGTCACAAAGCCTCACAGCCAGAAAGTTCTTCTGAGATCATCTGGTTCAACTTTATCATTTAGAGATGAGAAAATTGGGGCTGTGTGGTAGTCAAAAACTTGCCCAGGAATAAGTGGAAGTCAGACCTACAACTAAAACACTGTTTTTCAGTCCAAATTCTTATGCTCTCACCATTCAGTGGATATGACTACAGTCCTCCCCAGCTGGAAAGATTTCTAGCAGCAAACTATCCAGGATATTTTTGTAAGCCGTAGTCAGTTTCACTACTTGCCACACAATGAAAGTTGTACTAACAATTATTAAGCCAAAGTACAATTTCAATCTCTCTCTCTTCCCTCCCCTCGTCTTGCACACACAAACTCACAAAAGCATCACCACGACCAATCACAACAACAATGACAACGACAACAATACCAACAATACAACAACAACAACTGGCTAGAGAACTAGATAAGCCAATGTTTTCAAACTGCAAATTGATTAGGCACATAATCAATGCCTCAGACCAGGGACAAAGAAGGATTTCATCTAAGGTACTCAGCACAGCAATTAAGTTGAGGAGGTAAAACAATGAAAACTGCTTCAGCATCTTTCAAAGCAACCACCAAAAATAATCTGAGTAATTTTTGTGTTACACACTTAGAGATTTCCTTTGAAGACACATGGACTTTGGCTCTCCCTGCTATGTTACTCTTTTTTACCAGGGGCTGATGCCTGACTTATGGAAATGTCACCATCCATCAGTAGTGTTATATCACGACAGGAAAGCAGAAACCTACCAAGCCTCTTAGAAGCCACCTGAGACACCATGATCTCTCAAAGACCATCCAGTCAAACACCAGTCCATTTTCCTCTCTTGCGAACATTATATCTCTTCGAAATCTGTCCCTGACCAGGTCGGGATATGCTTCATAATTTTTGTCTCTCAACATCTGACAAAGCTGCTTCTTGCTTAAGGTCGATGTCCAGGGAAGAGAAGCAGAGGAGAAGCAGAACTCCTGATTTCCTTCCTATGCATGAGCTTTTGTGACAGAAGCCTTGCTACACATGGACCCGTTCTCCCTGATGATCAAAGGCAGTATGGCCATCCATTACTGTTAGCCAGTGGTCACTGGCAAACATATGCAGCTGGCTTTGGAGAAAAGTGCCTAGAACTATTTTAAGTTGATCATTAAAGAAATCATCCATGCTTGGGTATATTCACGGCTTTCTTTTAAGAGAGAACTTAGAATAATCTAAAGAGGAAAGGGTCCAGCAGTCAATAAGTCCAGATTTAGGTTTCAAGATGCACAAAAATACCAAAAAACTTAATGTTAATTTTTGATTTTATGCCCTGCCTCACAACCGCTTTCTTAAACTAAATATCCAGTCTCCAGTTATAAAATCTTCATTACTTTTATTTGAAAGGGAAATCCTTGGTCAATCTTAAGTATAGTCAAGAAGTAGCTCCAAAACACATATTTCTGCCTTACCTCTTCATACGAACTGAAAGGTTTGGTGGGGATTAAATAGATGGTTATTTAATCACTTGAACCTTTTAATAAATTGTAAAAGGTTTCAAGGAATTTGGCACAAATCAGAGCTTTCTGTGCCTATATTCTGAGCCTAGAACGTTGCCAGGGCTCAGGAAGTTAGGGAGCAGTGGCCCCCAAAAGGTAACACTCAAGGAAGGAAAGAGTATTAAATCCTAGTAAGTTTTACTTTTAAAGAAAAAATGTCAACTTTCTATCCAACAATTTAATCTGGATTTCAGTTTTATAAACTTCGCAGTTTGGAGATACTCTTTCCAGTATTCCTCCTTTGAAAACATGCCGCCTGATTTGTGCAGTGATGTTGTAAACATTGAGGCTTTGGTCAGTGAGCAAGCGATCTTGCCCCCAGAAGCAGCCAACTATCTGGGCTTTCTGGATGACATAATTAGGCCTCTCTTTTCTTTCCTTTTCTTTTTTTCTTTTTTTTTTTTTTTGCGGTACGCGGGCCTCTCACTGTTGTGGCCTCTCCCGTTGCGGAGCAAAGGCTCCGGACGCGCAGGCTCAGCGGCCATGGTTCATGGGCCCAGCCGCTCCGCGGCACGTGGGATCTTCCCGGACCGGGGCACGAACCCGTGTCCCCTGCATCGGCAGGTGGACTCTCAACCACTGCGCCACCAGGGAAGCCCTAGGCCTCTCTTTTCTGATAAATACTTCTGAGTCCAAAGCTGCTTCTTGTTAAATATGGATGCCCACATAGATGCTACCAACGCTCTGTCACCTGCCCTTGTTAATTGTGCCTGCCTGGACACTCCCAAAGGCCATGGGCAAGGGAGTTCCTCAAAATCTGTTTGGCGTAATCATCCTTAATGATCTTTCCAAAGCAAGATGGGATGCAGGGGTGCCTGAAATGACTCAATTAGGCTTACCCTCGTTCATGTTTCTGCAACACCACATGCTGACAGGATTTCTGGAATTATACATGAAAGTTGGGAGTCCCCTGCCATTTTAGGGAGTTTGTTATTACGGGATGTGGGTCGGGGGTCAACGCTCTTCTGTCACCGGAAACACAAAAAGCCCTCAGATGCTTTGTGCTATGAGAAAGGCTCATTTAAGCCATAATACAGCCTGGTATTTTGAACTGCTTCATCAGGGGTTCTGAAGTTCCATTAAAGAGGGAAAGAGTTGTCATATAACCTTAGGAGCACAAGCCAGCCCAGGAATGCTGTGCTGCTCCCTTTCATCTTCCGTTTCTATGCTTTAAGACCACATTCTTGATCCCAGGGGACCGATTCCAAAGACCTTTATAATCACAAGCAAAGAACGCTACTTTGCATAACTAATATGTTTTCCCCAGAACTCAACTGCTTAAGCCCCGTAACTATTTTGTGCCCATGAAACGTGACCAAGACGGCAACCATGATTATTACTAACCATAATGTGGGAGAGGGCAGAGAAAAAAAACTCTTTCTGGCTTCAGAAATAAATTCTGAAGGCATGTGAAAATGAGAATCTGAACACCTAAAGGCACAAAAAGCAATTGAGAAGACTTCATTCTTTAGGCCAGGACAGTTTTTACTCTTCCTCAAATCCTGAAAGGAGTTTCCATGCCAGAATGTACCATATCAAGCATTTTAAACAATGGAATTAAGAATATTTGGGCCCTTTCTTGTTAAAATGGGTGTTATTTTTAAGCAGAGTTTTTCTTACTGAAAAATGAACAATAGGCACATACCAGAGCCAGAGCCAGAGGCAGTCACATCGTAAATCAGATCTTTTAGAGTTTTCCCAGCATTGACCAGATTGCACTCAGAAAGGGGCTCCTCCACGTTTGGTCTCTTTTTCTTTCTGTAGGTGCACAGTCGACCTTGGCATGCCCATACTGTCAGCAGTGAAGCTATGGACAGGAGGCAAACTGGCACAGTAATAATAATGGTCAGCTCCACGGGTCCGAGTTTTGGGGCATTTGGTGATGCTGTAATCAAAAAAAGAAAGAACATGACCATATGTTAACCCACGTTAAGTATTATAGAAATTGGAAATGCGATCACCAAAATTTTACATCTATAATGTGCAGCTACACAGTATGCACTCATGTTAGTTGGTGAAGACTCTCTATGATAAAAGCAAAGGCGGGGAAAGGGAGTTGAGGTGAGGATGCAGTTGCAGTTCCGTTCTGCTAGGTGACAATGGAAGATAGAATTAGGATCATGGAAAGCACTAGCACCTGCGATCCTTTTTAAAACCTCCAAACCATTTGACATTTTATTACTATTTTCTCCCCATTTTTCAGCAATCCATCCTTAAGGCACATTCATTCTTTTAGCCACAGATAATTACTGAGCTCTTGCAATATGCTGCCACTATTCCAGGTGATGGAAATATAGCAGTGAGTGAGAGAGCCCAAATCCTTGCTCTGTGGTGCTTATGTTCTCACACAACCACAGATGGGTATGTAATACAAAAGCAAGAGATCATAAGTGCTATGAAGAAAAAGAAAACAGAACAAAGAGACAAAGTGATGGTGGGACACTACTTTAGAAAGACTGGTCACAGAAGGCCACTCTGAGGAGGGGGCAGGGAGCTCCAAGAGAAGTAGCTCAGGGAAGCATGTTCCCAGCAGAAGGAAAGCAAGTGCAAGGTGCCCTGAGGTGGAGACCTACTTGGAGTGTTCAGGAACAATCTTTGCCTCAAGTGCAGTAAATGAGGAGAAAGGTAGAAGGAAATGGGGTCAGGGAGGTCAAAAAGAAAAAGATCATGTGGGGTCTTGAAGGCTAAAAGGACTGTGAATTGTATTCCAAGTGGAAGCTGGCACAGGGTTCTGAACAGACAAAAGATAGGATCTAACATATCTTGGGTGACCACTGTGTGAACAGACACTAGGGGCACAAAGTAAAAGCTAAGAAACCAATTACAATGTATCTGGTATTTTCATGGTAAGCATTTTTGCCGCAAACATTTTTGCTGAATAACTACTTGGCCATAAGGCAATTCTGCTGTAAAAGATAAAATAACAAAAAATAAAAGTGACGTTAAAAAGGAAACAATGGGGCTTCCTGGTGGCGCAGTGGTTGAGAGTCCGCCTGCCGATGCAGGGGACACGGGTTCGTGCCCCGGTCCGGGAAGATCCCATATGCCTCAGAGCACTTGGCCCCTGAGCCATGGCCGCTGAGGCTGTGTGTCCGGAGCCTGTTGCTCCACAACGGGAGAGGCCACAACAGTGAGAGGCCGGCGTACCGCAAAAAAAAAAAAAAAAAAAGGAAACAATGAAACAGTGAAAAATGAATAACAAAATTTAAAAGACTTTATAGTGAAATACAAAATATTTGAATACATGTAAAATGTGTAAGAGATTCATGGTGATACTGCATAAATAACTAATTTTATTTAATGAGTTGTACCTAAGTACTTGTCTTCCAAGTCTTTCGTTCATAGTATTTTATACCTTTTGTTTTTGCTTGTTGATTCGTCTCCTCATTCAGCATCACACCTTTTCGCTAAAATTTCTTCCTTAATTAAGAGAGGTATCAGTTTCCAAATGCTCGGATGCATACTTGTAACTGAGCTTTGTATTGCTTCACGAAAACCTCTATGCTGTTGTTTGTTCTTGGCAAATTGTCACACGTCTACTGATGGACATTCCAAAGTTGCATGGGAAATGTGGGTTCAACTCTGCACCTTCAAATCACCGAAGGATTTGCAAACCAATATGTTATCATTTTCTAGTATCGTATGCAATCTGGCTTTACATTCTCTTATTTCACACTTCCAGTAATTTATTACTGTCTTTTCTATCAAGTCGACATAATTGTTATCATCCAGTATTTTAAGATCACCACATCTACTCATCACTGTAGAGACCATTATGAGGGCTAAGATTTATCTAATATAAAAATAGGAGTACTCCATCAATGGAGAAATGAAACCAAACTGTCAACCAGTTATTTCATCTTTCATGGCAAAATTACCTTACGGCCAATTAGTTATATGGCAAAAACTGTTTGCTGCAAAAATGTTTGTGGCGAGGATGTTTACCTGGAAAATACCTACAACCCAATTAGAAGCCTGATGCAATAATGCAGGCAGAGATGATGGTTTTGGCTGACAACTCTATCTAAAATAGTACTTCCTTCTCACTCCCCGTTTACTCTCTATACCCTTGTCCTGTTTTATTTAACTTCCTGGATCTTATCACCACCTGGCACATCATAGATTCACTTATTTATTATCTGATTTCTTCCAAAAAAACATATGCTAGTTCTTAATGAGAGGAGGAATTAAGTCAGACTTCCTTCTTGGTAATGACAACCCAGGAGAGCTTATTATACTAAATGCACTTGAATTTTACTTACAACATGTTAACCAGAATATGTGAACATAATTTGAAAACAAATATTATTTAATTCTAAAGGAAAAAGAATCAAATTCCTCAAAGATGTGTTCATAAAAGTTTCACTATAAGCCTAAAAATAGTAGTCTATCTACTATCAATGAGTAAAATATTTAAAACTGTTAAGTGAACTTTGGAAACAAACATATTTCATGCTCTTCTACTTTGCCAGGTGAATTTTGGCAGATCACCAACTTTCCTTCTCCTGAGTGTTGCAGGATTCCTCTGAAATCATTAGAAGTTGTACAGGTGCATATGAGGACAGCTTGGCCTTGAGTGTTCTTAGGACAAGGTGCTACAAGAGATCTCAGATTTGACTTTGAATGAGAAATCATTAACCATGGAAGTTGCACTTCTGAAGTTTGCTGTTATAAAAAAGTTTTATAATCCACTTCATAATAATCTTTCAAATCTACATTTCAAGTTGCATCCATATTTTTATGTCCTCACAAAGGTATTCCAGGAATTCTAAGAAAGCCACAGAATGTACTTAACCATTTGCAACTTACATAAACATGTACCTAAACATGTTTTTAAAAATAAAACTCCACTATTGGATATATTTATATGGCTAAATTTTATTTTGATACATGTTATTAGGAACTATCAGTATAAACATTACTGTTAAAAAGTTTATTGATTGTCTTCATTTTAGTAAAGCTCTATTAAGCAGAGCTCAGATCATCACTATATAGGGCAACCAATAAAGAGGCGAAAGGTCAGCAAGCCTGAAAATAGAATAATATCTATAAAAGTGCACAGCTCTGGTGATGGCTACTGCTCTCAGGGATGTTTATTACAGATGGGCAATGTTTCTACTTTTGTGAACAATTTACTGAAACGAGTTAGTAAGAAAAAAAAGATGACTCGGCTAGAAAAAGGCTAGCAACACCATCCAGAAAGAGCTCCTTAAGCACTGAGCAATTTTTAAGGCAAACATTTGTAAAACTATCTTCTAAACCAAATGTTGATTGTAATCTCTACAGGAGACAAATGAAGAAAACTGTGGTCTACACCCAATAAGTCATGGTAGAAAAAGACAGTAGTGCAGTTAAGAATACATTTTAATAAGTTATCTCGGATGAAAATATTAATTTTCCCAACAGATTTTACATTCTTTTTTGTTTTGTTTGTTTTTGTTTTTGCGGTATACGGGCCTCTCACCGTTGTGGCCTCTCCCATTGTGGAGCACAGGCTCCGGATGCGCAGGCTCAGCAGCCATGGCTCACGGGCCTAGCCGCTCCGCAGCATGTGGGATCTTCCCGGACCGGGGCACGAACTCGTGTCCCCTGCATCGGCAGGTGGACTCTCAACCACTGCGCCACAAGGGAAGCCCCAGATTTTACATTCTTGATCATAGGAAAACTCTTTTCTTTGTTTTTTGCTTTTTTAAATATTTTTTCCATTTCTATAATTTTATTTATTTTTATTTTTTTGTCTGCATTGGGTCTTCATTGCTGTGCACAGGTTTTCTCTAGTTGCAGCAAGCAGGGGCTACTCTTAATTGTGGTGCATGGGCTTCTCATTGCAGTAGCTACTCTTGTTGCAGAGCAGGGCTCTAGGCATGCGGGTTTCAGTAGTTGCAGCATGTGTGCTCAGTAGTTGTGGCTCGCAGGCTCTAGAGCACAGGCTTAGTAGTTGTGGTGCACGGGCTTAGTTGCTCTGTGGCATGTGGGATCTTCCTGGACCAGGGATCAAACCCATGTCCCCTACATTGGCAGGCGGATTCTTAACCACTGCACTGCCAGGGAAGTCCCAGGAGAACTTTTATTATTTGATAATTTCCAAATTTTGAGACCATGTCAACTGAGGTGATATCTCCACGGAATAAGCAGCTCCATGGTGGCATACGTTAATCCCAAAAGTGAGGTCTGGGAGTGCTGCATTGCTAACTCTAGTTATTTCACTCTCTAGTAAATTAAATAGAAGAGGTTGGGAAAAAAGAGACAAACACTAGCCCACATGGATGAGAGTCTAGCTTACAAAAGTCTCCCCTATATAAGTTCTGCAGTCCATTAAACCAAGATGACACAGGGGAAGGAGGTATTAACAAGCCAGGAAGAAGGGAATGTATGAGGTGGAAGATTCTGGGCAGCTGGAGGGAATCATACAAAAGGCAAAAGATTGTAAGAAGGTAAGAACAAAAAAAGGGAGAGGAAAAAAGAAGGAAGGAAGGAGGGAGGAAGGAAGGAAGAAAAAAGGAAAGAAAGGAGAAATTTTTTTAAACTATTTTTGTGAATTTGCAGCTTTCCATAGAGACAGGAGTGGAACTGGTGATTGTGAAAGCTGTGGTGGTTACTCCTGCCCAAATAAAGTTCAGAACCAGTTTAGATGCCTCAGCTTCTCCCAGGACAGTTCCTGTTACCTCCTCGCCACCTCCTATTTCTGGCTTTAGGGAGGCAAACTTCTCAAGATGAAAAGAAAAAGATGAGAAAATGTGGGCATGATCTCCATGTTTCTTCCCCTGCTGACCTTTTCTCTTTCTTTATTAAAAGTATGAAAGTATTGACGTTTATGAGATTTATATGACCTTCATATTAATTAATTTGTATTTCTTTAGTATATGCTAATAGGAGGAGATGCCT